TTTCACGCTTTGAAATAAATCAATGGACCCCTGTCAAGAGAATTGGAGAACGAAATTTTTCCGACAACTATCTCAGGCCTCATTCTGACCTTGTAGGAGGACGTATTTCGTTTCACTTGTGAATTTTTCGATTCTTTGATACGTGCAGTTTTGAGGGTTCTACCACCCCTCTGGAGAATGCTGGCTATTCGCACCCTGCATACGAATACGCATGCGAGAACTAGCTTCATTCCAAAGTATTTCCATCCTTGACTGCAGGCTATTTTGTCTGCCGCTGAGGACAGTTGCAAGTGTCCTCTGCGTCCTGAGTTGTTGATTGTGGTGCCCGCCCGCGTGTGCCTCCAGGTCGGCGGCGCCCTGGCGCTGCCCGTAGAGGTGCCCCCCTGGCGCCCATAGCGACGCACGCCTCCACCTCCACATGTCCGAGCCGCTTAGATATTTCTTATCCCCGTAAGGTGTGAGATTTTTCTTTCCAACGGGTTAAAATTCGGACATGACCCCGGATCCTAAAAGCCCACATCACCACACCAGCCAGCTGGTGCGAGTTAATTTAGGCTGGGAGTGAAGTAACATTGTCTTTCCCAAAAGGGAGTTTTATTTTTTATTGGATTCCAAAATGGCCATTTAACCTCGAAGTTCATGCACGGCTTTTAAACGGGATTATGCGGTGTTTGAAGAACTAGCCACTAGCTAATTAGGTATGTTAAGAGTGGTGTGTTCTGTCTGATATGCGGGAGTCGATTATTTTACAAATTGGTTCATGGTCCGTATTTTGATCCATGTATTCACGTGTATTATAATATTGACTACTAACTGAAACACATATTCCAAAAACATTCAAGAAACATCTCTCATGGGAAGATTAAGATCTAATATATTGCGTAACTGCGTCGGTGAAAAAACTTGAAATTTTTAATTGTAACACTTTTGTAACATTTTAAAATAAAAATGTCAAAATTATCAATTTCGTTTCTTTTAAAATGTATTGCCTCTCTACTGTAATTTCAAGAGGTCATACAGCGTTACTACTCTTCTGGGATTAAATTAACGTACCGGACTTACCGCGTATTGTTCTCAGCAGTTTGCGCGGCTGCTCTGAAACGGGTGGAATCGTGTGTGATTTCACATGCATAATTCAGTGAAATGCATTGGGGTGGTTTACTGGACATTTGCGTAAATTTAACTTCACATTACGTTGCGAGGTTGTTGACTCCGGCAGGGCGCGCGCACTAGGCGCAAGAAAGGCTCGCCCGACGTGGACGCAAGCGTGCTGCATCTCCTCGGCGGCGGCGACAGCGGCGGCGCGGTTTGGCACAGCGGACCCTCCGGCGCTGCAAACAGACCCGCCCAACAATTCAGTGCTCGAGTGCCTTCCACAGTCCATTGGTACTCGTTGCCCGACCGTCACCGGCCGTCGTTGGAGCAGGTCATTTGCGGCAGTACCTCAAAGCGATATTGTCATGAGCCCCAGCAACGCATGACTGTGGGTGGCACGCGGGGGTAGCTGCGCGGTGCCGCTTGTCACGGCGACTGGCTCACGGAGTGCTGGCTGCCTCTCCCGCAAGTGAAGAGAACTTTCCGGAGCGGGTGCCCCTTGGCTGGTAGTACCTCAAGACATCGCCGGAGTCCGCGACGCAGGCGGCTGCCTCTCCCGGCGGTTCGTACGAGGAGTGAAATTTTAGAAAAGGCCCTTCAACAGGCTGGTAGCATTCGAAGTGATCGTTATGATTGTTGCCAACGCGGTTTCGGCGACCGATGGTCACGTGATGCATGTCCACGAACTTTGGTAATCGGCGCGTTGGGTGGAGTCATGCGTACGCGACGAGTCTCGCCGCTGAATTGAATCGACATTAATTAATTGTATTCGTTAGTAGAAGTGCTTCAAATAAGTTTAAATTACGTTTCTGCAATTTTCCATAATTTTTTTTGGCAACACAGAATTGTGACAAATAACTAGCTCTGAGCGAGGTTCGAACAATCCAACCTTGCCTCCTAAGCACTGAGACAATACACATAATTTAACCAACCGCGGCCACCGGGTCGTACAGGCATATTAGGTACTGTATTAGTCATAAGAACTTCGTGTTTCAGTTGCAGTATTAGGCAGCGAAAAAATTAAGATGTCCTTTAAATTAAAAAAAATAATAAGTGTTCTTTGGCTAAAAAAGATTGCAGCTCGGCAGGGTAGTAGCTCGACGCGGTAAATAATTTTTGCTGCTTAAAAGCAACAGAATTCTGACAAATAATTATCCCCAAGCCAGCCTCGAAACAGCGACCCTTCTGTACAGCAGACGTTGCCTGAAACAAAAACCAATGTAAATATTGTACTATTAATTTGTTATGTGAAGAAATTTTAAAGAAAAAGTGCAGGTATATATTTTACGCGTGAACTTTCAATGGTGGACCGCTGTGTACCGTGCCCAACCGTGTACCCCGTATACAACCGTACCGTATACAACCGTATGCCCGCCTCCGCGGTCATGGTTCCCTCCTGTGGTGGTCCCGGTGGTGGGAGATACCTGGATGGGGGGAAAAGGAACCCGACGTGTAGGTTGGCGCCGGGTCTCTTCAACCTGCTGGGTAAAAACGCCGCCACCTCCCGTAATAGAACGTTCACTAAACTTACTGGTGTAATGACCACAGCAGTTGTCGCGCCCAGAAACGAAATAATCGAATCAAGGCAATCTTCATCCGTCCGTTTGCACGTCACGATTACACCTCTCCCGGCTTCCCATCGGGGGCTAACTAGGCGTCTCAACGACGTTGCTCAACGCGACTCGTCTCTTGTTGGGGAGCCGGCCACTTTCGAAAATTCAGAAAATTTCCGAAAAATCGTATTAGGTTTTTAAAGACCTAAAATACGTTTTGAGGGAATACGGGGGGGACGACTCAGTGACTGCTGTGAATTACTATACTGTTTTTCCAGCACAACAAGAATCCTTAGAACACGAGTTATAAAATTGAGAACTAATTATGTAACGAAACATTCAAATGTTTAAAACAAATACTATGCTTTTTCCTGAAACCTTTCAAGATGTTCAATGATAGAGAAGTCTGAAAACTGCATTGGGATTAAAAGTTATTTATGGTTTACTAGTTCATTATTGTGTATTTATGGCCCTGAAATGAAACACGCAATCGTAAATTTAGTACCGTTCCAGGCATTTCGGATTCTTTATGTCAGCTCCGCCACCAACACAGCGTACGTACGTTTTTACTTAGTAGTACTGTTAGTAAAAGATGTACAAAACTCGTACTGAACATCCTCCGAATGTTATTTTTTGATATAATGGAATCTTCTGAATATATAAATGGTTTTCGGCAATAGCATGAAAAAAACAACTAAAAGTACAGTTTCGTTTACGCAATTCACACAGTTGTTTTCCATTCAACTCTCAAATACACCACCCGTACTTTCACATTTATGCGTCTACTTTTCACACTAAATGCGTCTTTCACTTGTGTTGCAAGGCAGTTAAAACTGTTTTGAATTCTCGTTTGATTCCGCAACGAACTACTAAACCATACATTTTTGTGTGCACCACGGGCGTTACTTGATGTTTTTGCCCCTCAGGCGTTTTCCAACCCCTCGAGCGAGACGCCCTCGAGATTGGAGTCACCCTCAGGGCAAAAGCATCTACGTTACGCACTAGATATATATTTTATTGTAAACTTGCAGCATAAAATAAGCGCCCCGCTAAGCCAGATTACTTAAAATAATATTGTGTCACCAACACCAACAACACAAAAAATGCAATGCTGTGGTAGCAGCACTAGTTCGGTGAGTGGTTTGAGCGTTGTTGTAGGTTGGAGTGTTAGAGATGTTTTGAAGGTCGGCCACCTGTGGTGTTTCAGAACGGTGCAAGCCAGGCGGGCGGCGCGGGGCCGGGGCCACTTCCGCTCCTCGCCCAACCCCCGACTCACCAGCACCCCCACTCCCCGCCGCTGCACGGTGCGTACATGTTCATTTGCTATCCCAAAAGTGTTTCTCTGTTTCACCCTGTAAGTATGCGCCGGTAGGTTCACTTGAAACGGGCGATTTAATCGCAATTTTTTTCGCAACAATCGATTATTTTTCATCGATTAATATCCCTTTCATATATAATCTATTATTATTATTATTATTATTATTATTATTATTATTATTATTATTATTTAGCTCAATTAATTTAATTCAAATAGTAATTTTCAAAAGAAACAAAATAGAAAAATATCCCTCTAAACAAAAACTTTAAGAATTGAATTAATAATTTATTTCTTTCCGACCACAGAAAAGTCTTACTCTTCACTATGTTCTGAAATTTTACGTAGTGCATGTCCTTAATCAGGTAAGAAAAAGACTGATTTATGAGTTATCCTGCAGTTGTTGTGAACTGTGTACAACTGAAAATTAAAGTATTTATTTGTGTTACTCTTTCTAAAAAAATTCCCAGAAATTTTCATTTTACATTTGAACATACACTATAGTAGTGTCTGTTTTGTCGCATAGTCATCTGTTTCGTGTGTACATTTAGTGTTAATCACTTCTAAATAAACAAATTGAACCAAATTGTTTAATACTTCAACTGATTTTATTGTAATATCACATGCACAAATTAAAAATTAATAATTTTATTGTTTTGTGCATTATTTAAAAACTGTAAAACATTAATCTGAGGTTGCATCATCATAGTGCTTAGCACACATGTTCGCTAATCTGAGTAAGTATATCTGAGGATTTTTTTTTTTTGTCATGTCCTATACACAGCAGTCCTAGGGTCTGCTCAACCTTCTTTACAAATCAGTACCAATATTTACATTTAAACAGAAAATGTTGGGCAATATGAAGCATGAGCTTGCCACACCATCTTCATCCATTTCAGAAGTCATAATAGGACCTACTAGTGATTACTATTTCATTAACTGACTGCAAATCATTCAGCAGCAAGATTCAATAAATCAGTTCTTTATGAACTTTAAAAACCAAATTGATTGTCATGGCTTATTGATTGATTCCAGAGAACAATTCAAATGGCGTACATCAGATGCCTTTACCAACTAATCCCATTGGGAGAGGTATCGAAGATATGGATAACTCCAGCCCATCTGTGTCTGCGTCCATGGGCATAAGTATAGCTTGCAGTCCTCCAGAAGTAGCGAATAATTGTGGTACAGTGAACATGACGGATTTAGATATGAATGACAGTGTGATAAGTAATGCCAGTAGTGTAGTGCCTCTGAGTGCCAGCAGACTGCGTTTGCTACAAGACACTACGATGATTGAATCGGCACTGGATTTGGATTCTCTTGAAGAATCTTCTGTTGGTGCAGGGAGTCAAGCTGGGCTCCTCAAGTTGAGTATAAATTGAAGATATGTTCTGCAAAAACTGTCTTCCTGTGAGTTTGTAAGAATCTTGTGTCATTGCTTTCTCTCTTCACAAATCAGTTCATCTTAATTTAATAGTTCTTCTAAATTTAAAAACATTACTTAAACATTCTTTTGCTGTGTATTAAGAAGGGAGAAAATCAAAGATACTCAATTTCAATAATTTTTTGGTTTTCTCTCCATTGCATTGATCATTTGATATTTTTGAGATAGTTGTCCTACTTTTGAGAATATTTTGTAAATTATTTTTAAAGATATTTTTTTCATTTTAATTTATTGCCTTTTGTACATGCTGATGTGAAGATTGTGATTCCCAGTGTTTTGCATGTGAGAAACTGAGAATATGCCTATCAACTCACTTTATAATTATTCTTATTGTAATTATTATTACTGTTGTTATTGTTATTATGAGAGACACTATAAAATGTTCATATTTGATTTTCAAAATATGCACTGTCATATTACTGCAGTACTTGAACTTTTAATATTGTAAGATATGTGAATAATGTGACAAATAGATAAATGATTTTCTCATTCCATTATATTTATCACTTATTTAAGAGTTCTGTTTTGGCACAAACATTTTGAGTAAATATGATATTTAATTTAATTTTATTTTTATTACAGCTCAGAGTTTTTATTTTCATGCTTTGTGCGTTCTTTCACGGGTATTTATGGTAGGTTTGTTCCAGCTGCAACAGCAAGTGGTGCTAATAAATATTTGGGTATCTTGATCAGGTTGAAACTGGCTTTAAATGGGTCACAAGAGTTGGGAGATATCAATAGGAATGAAAGGACAAAATTTGCCTCTCAATTTGTGTGCTCCTCTTTCTGTTTCTGCAGCAGAACAGTAATTTAAACCCATACATGTGCAGAATATCGATGCATAAATTAGTAGGTCATTGTTTGTGGGAACAAACCTTTCTAACATAAGTTTCTTTTGCTTTGTGACTGACGATTGTATGACACAACTCAGGCCTGATAATTTGTGTTTGAGAAGCAGTATTTTTGTTCAGGATGTGTGAAAATAAGTGAAAAGTTGTTCAAAGAAGTGTATGGAATAGTCATATTGCATTGAACAATTACGATTGAGTTGCTCTCTGCCTGCTGGGCATGTACGTGTGTCTCGGAATAAACATTAGTAACTTCTAGGGATTGTAGAAGGATTGAAAATGATCACCTTTTTCCAATGAATATGTAGTGGGAAATTGCATGAAATTGTGTTAAATTTGTGATCTTTGCTCCTAATCATTAGGCAACTTCATGTTGCATAAGAACATTACCTGCCAAACCTTTTGAAGATCAGGAGTTCTCTAAAACCCATAGGAAAATATACATGTGTAACTGTTTTGTGTAATTTCCCAATACATGTTCATTGGGAAACTATGATCACTTTATCCCTTTCGACATAGAATATTCTAAACTTTGTTCTGAGACATCCATTCCAGATATCCTATTAAGCTCTCTTGAGTGAGTCAGGTGGCATCAGGAGGTTCACTACTGAAGCATTTCCTTACCATGTGGAAGTCTGTCTTAATATAACAGAAGTGTTCTGACATGCCTGTTTTATAACACAGAATTACTAATTGTTGCATGTACACACATAAAGGGATCATCAAATCATTTGGCCAAATCCCCTAGCTTTTAACTACTGGAATTATATTAGTCCTGAGTGTGCTTGTAAAACAAGATCCATAAAACATCTCAACCACCTACACTATTCTTATTTGAAGTATATCCAATCCTCATGTAGCATTTAACTAGCCTGTAAATGCATGTGTTTGGGAAAAGGATATTGCATGAAGTTCATTGTAAACAAGTGTTTGTCACAAATAAATATCTAATGTAACGAAGTTTAAAATTTAAACCCTAGGCAGCGATGGGCATCCCTCCAAAGGAGAAAAGACCTGTAGCAGTTGTGATATACATTTGCTATAATTATCACATTTTGGCAAAATCCTTTTAGCTTAACATCTCACTGATATATTTCTTGTGTCATGGAGTCATCAATTTCATCATTTCCATAGGTCTACATTAGCATGATAACATTTTGCATTTCACCTAGCTTCCCAAAAGTTTTGTTTAATATCATATTGTTATGACCATGTACATTACATGTATACAAATTGAGAAGGGTGTAATTCTTGTGGTTCTAGTTTTCTTAAAATTCATTCATGTTAATTGTTTTGATTTTCAATATTTGGGAATTAGTGTGTGTTTCCTATCTGTGAATTAATACAAAATAAAAATTGTGATAAAGCAAATATATTTAACAGAATACTTTTCTTTATGCTTAACTCATCATAAAGCATTTAACATAATCATCCAAAGACATTTAGCTGTCGCAGGGAAAGCATCCTCATGTGCCTCGCAGGTCTATTGTGTCCGATGTTTGATAATTATCTGCAGATGTTGTTTTTGAGATGCTTTATTCTATTACCAAAAGTACACATGAATAAAACATTGAAGGTTTTAAACATCATTTGTTGTCATAATAAACACCGATTAATTTTTTTTGTTTTAAGTGCCATCCCTTCCTGCTATATTAGATGCGGCAATTGTGTCTGTCTACTTATTTTGATTTTCTTCTTATAATTAAGATATCAATTTAAGTAAATTTTACATTCAACTATTGATTCAGCCATTTTCAAGTATAAATAATGTGACCATTATGTATGCACAAGCATAAATGTTCATATTGTGCACCTGCACAAACCCATGATTGTCTCAGATTCTATTGCAATTGCTTCATGAAACACTGTATTTTGTATTGTTCAAAGTATGATGCTTTATAAATTTGCTGAATCAGGACTATTGATTAAAATTGCCTGGAAAATGATGACGTCATTACAATTTTGTTTTGCGATATTATGTTATGTTAATTGCTGGTATTGTATAAGTGCAAATTCATATACTTAATACATACAGGAATACATATTTTGTTTTTTTAATTATCTCAGGCCTGAGAAGGTGTCATGCATTCCAGAGTTTCTTATCCATGTGTGTGGAGAAGTAACACAATTGTTCAGATACTTCTTCACATAAACAAGGATGTATCTCATAATTGATTATAAGTAAACAATTGCACTGATAATAAGAAGTGACAAATTTAATCAAATACGTGTGGCTTATTTTTATATGGAGGATTCTAGTAGCGAGACTGATGGTAAGGCAAATTGTTCTAAATAACAGAGCACTAATGTTTCTTGTAATTGTGAAAAATATTTTTGCTAAAGTTTCATCATTTAAATTTCACAAACCAGCGTTTTTATTTGCTGGATGCTTATAAAGGCACTAAGATACTGCAGACTACTAGCGTTTGCATAACTCCTTTGTCATTTTTCTGTGTATTTAAGACTGGCTAATATTGGCATCAAGTTTCTGTAATAACCAGTAAATAAATATTTTTTAAAGGGTAGAATATATGAAACAATAGCAAGTGTGATCAGGTTATAAATTAAATAAATCATAATAAATACTCCAGAGAAACTTCAAGAACAAAGATCATAAATTTAAAAAAAACAAAAAACTTTCTGATTTCTCTAAAAATATAAAAGAAATTTCTTGCCATATTGGGCAGGTTTCAAATATATTCTTAATTCTTGGAGATCAGTGAAAGTCCTAAAATATAACATCTTTAAATGTGTATTATGGAATTAAAGATGTTTGGAAGTGCCTATGTGAGAAGTAGAAAAACAAAATTTCCTTTCTTTGTCAATTAAAATGTTTGATGTACTATTTTTTTTCATTCTTGGCTCAGAGTTTTTCTTGTGTTTTATAACAATAATTATTGTATTCAACTATAAACTCTGCTCAGAAGAATGAAAGCTTAAATTTCCAAAACTAAGGATCAATATATTGAGAATCAAAATTTTAAAATTATTTCTTGAATTTTTTCAGACTGCATTCTCATAATTTTTTAGAAATTTAGAAATGAATTTATTTGTGTGTTTACATATACATTTTCATATTTTCATTTTAATGTTTCAACAACATAAATGTATAAAATTGTATTCCAAAGAGTCCTCATTACAGTTATATTGTATTAATAAATTGTATTTTAAGTTAAAAATGAGACAGTTGCAAGAGAGTGTTATCCTAAATTACTGTTGCCAGTTGCATCTACAGGTTTACCACCGAAACAAGGCAATCATAATTTCATTTTCCATTGTAATATTCTTATTTCACACTTAATACTTGAATATTGTTCAACATGTTGAAAATATGGCTTATATTGAAATATGTTCTAAATTCTTAATATCCAGGATGAATAAAAAAACTAATTGAATTATTCCTAACAGGTTAAACAAAATAGCTGCCTCCAGAATCCTGGATCATCAGAATTTAAGAATATCATAATGTATACTATGTGAAAGCCTTTCTTTAAAGTTAATTGTTTGTTTTAGTCTAAATTACTATTTATGACGAAGTTAACCTATTAAAATATTTTCTAAGTAGTATCTTTGTAGTTTGTCATTTGTGTGCTAAAGTAAGTTGAAGACGATATTGTGAGCAATTGAGTGATTGAATATAATGACATTATGTACGGTTTCCAAGTTAAGACGAATTAAAAAATGGTTTAAACCTTCATGGTTGAAATTTGGAGATATGGAATTGGCTGAATAGTAATCTTTCAAATTTCCATTTACTTAATATGTGAATTGAATTTTAATTAGACAGTATCTCCAGGATTTTATATTTGTCAATAAATACTAAGACAGAACCCAATTATGTGTATATATCAACATTTCATTTAGCCAGATGACTTTAGTTTTTCTTTTTGAAACTTTTTTTTTAAGTGCAGTTTATGAAGTTTAGCATTTTAATAGAAAGAAATGCGTAATTTCAGAATGGGTTGAAATGTAAGAAAAGTTTTTAAACAAAATTTGGTTGATTTTAAGGAGGCCACTAATGTGTTATGAAAAGAAGTTTGAAATGAAGCTATTCTTTATTATGATGACTGCTTTTTGTTCTAATAGTACTACATCACACATTTTATCTGATCATGTGCCACCATACATATAATTGATACCAAAGTACCATCATTTTGATACATTTCTATTAATATTTGTATTATTGATGTGGCCCCAATAGTAGCTATGTTGATGATATCTTGGGCACTGACTTTCAGGATCCAATTTTTGATCTGAGATTTTGCCTATTATCGTGCTAGAATTGTTGATTAATTACTTTTTTAAGTAACCTGGATCATTTCTTGAGCACAAAAGGAGCAAACTCTTACAATTTGTCATATTTCATTGTTGCCCATTCCAATTCTGAGTATTTTACATTAATTGTTGCTATTTCACTAATATTGTATTTCTTAATGATCTGCTTCTTGAACTCCCTTCTTTACAAACACATTAACCCATGGGACGAATCCGATTATCAATATTACCAGAGTGCACTTCAGGACCATTAACAATAGCACATCACAAAGATTTTATAAAGAAAGAAATGTGAAATAGTATTCAAATATAGATTTATGGCAGAGAGGTCAAAATCTTTTTATGTTTGGCTGTGCAAACTTGTATCTGACTTCCTTCGAACAAACTTGGTTATTGAAACTTCCCATACCAAGCACCTACTCACACAGTATTTCTTTATGTTTTGTATCATTTGCAAGATATCTAGTGTATGTTTCTAATGGAAGAAGATATTCTAATAATTGGAGATCATTTACATATGCAACATATGAAATTTGTCATGCTACTTTTAAAAATTAAAGAAACATTAGAAATTGTAAAATAATTGTAAACAAATTCCAAGCAAAATATTTCCAATTATATGCTTTCAGAACTGTAACATTTTAGAGAAATGATTTAGCATTGATTTGATTGCCATGAAAGGGCACTGTATACCCCTTCGCTCCGGCTTTGATGTTGATACATTCAAATGATCAAGTTTTTCCATGCTAAGGAATAAATTGCAGTATCAGAACTGTTTTTTTAAATGCTGCCTAATGATATTTAAGGCAATTATTATTATTATTATTATTATTATTATTATTATTATTATTATTATCTGTACCATCAATATCATATATTATAAGAATATTTACATCCACATCCACCCAGAAAATTTAACAAGGGATTAACAATCACTTATTCAGTCCCTGACATTTTAGCACTCTATTTTTTTTGTCACAACAAGCACTATAATTTTTGCTGCATTTGGGTTGAGACAGTGCAGTCAGGATGTTGCCATTACTACAGTGTTTCCTTTGGGTCAGTTACACAGTGTCTTACTTTCACAACATATTTATCAATTTGTGTGAATATAATTATGTATTTAAACATTTTACATAATTAAAAATGTAAAATATTGCTGCTCTAAGTTATTCCTGTGGAGTGATAAAAACAAATGATATGATTTGAATCGTAGAAGTAATTTTAGAGTTCAAGTGTTCAAAGTTTCATTCAAAAGCAATAAGCAATCATTACAGAAATTGGAATGGTTTTTGGAAAGAATGAAATCCAAATTGTGTTATGCGTCCCGCTGAATCGTTTTTGACACTAACATTTGATATAAATAAAATGATTTTTCTTTATTAAATTTTGACTTCTATCTATTTATTTAATTTTTCTTTCTTTTCTTTTACCTCCAAGATGTACTACAAGTCCCTTCTCTCTTTAATCAGTAATTAATTGAAATTTATCTCGTATGTTATAGAACAATAGCTCAACTCACATTACAATGCTAGATTTAATTTTTTCTCCTCATTTATCTGTGTTCTTGTACTTATCTGTACAGCCTTGTGTGTGCTGCCACAATTCTTTCTCAAAGGCTTTTGTTAAATGGCTTCATTCCTTCATGTTCTACTAACATCATAGATATTGAATAATTCAAGTATTTCTTTCTTCTCGTAATTAACTATTTTTCAAATTTTTATTTCATTTATATTTCCTTGAAAATTTTTGTTTTATAGGTGTTCCTAAAACAGTCATTTCCTTTGTTCCGTAACACTGTGTCTCTTTTCTTTTACCTCTCTTAAAGATTTAATATTTGTGTTTTAATTCTGTTATTATTATTATTATTATTATTATTATTATTATTATTATTATTATTATTATTATTATTATTCTACTTCTATTTAATTTTCTCCACCTTCATGTAACTATTCATAGCTATCCTGTTTTCCTCATGCCTTTTTTGGCTAATTCCATAAGACAGTTTTCTCCAAACTAAAGACTTTGGAAAATGATCCTTAGGTCTAAATTTACTTGTAGATGTGTGTTTGCTTTACCTAAATATTGTATGGTATGACTTTAATTGCTAATTCAACTCCTTGTAATTTTTTTGCTACACTAATCACCATGTGATATGATACTTCCTATGTAAAAGGAACTTTTTATTGACATTTTTGTTTTACTTTAATTATGAGCTTTAGAGCTTTAATTCCTTTACAGCCAGAACTTACGGTTTTCTTAGAATTCATTTTTAATTTCTTATTGTGTTTTCCATAAATTGTGTCCTGTTCATGTCCTCATATTCTGCCTAACTGTAAATCAGCCTTCTGTCACCTGCAAATCAGCACTTTCCCTCCTGTGCAGTTTTATTCTTTCAAATTTTGCATAATATCTTGCACACGTACATAGTGTATTATGATGAGTGAGAACTTCCTTTTTCTCACTTCTTTTCTAATCTTTGCTTCTTAAACACTTCCTTTTATGTATGTTATGTTCTCTTAATGTTCCATGGTTTTTGTAGATTTGAAGTATTAATTGCCTATTGTACATCAGCTTTCTTCAAGGTTTTTATATAAGAAGTTGATTTATGGATGGCTTTTTCTAAAGTGCTGAGTATGAGATAGAAGTTTGTTATTTTTAATAATTATATTTTCAAGAACTTAGGAATCTAAGGCCAGCAGAAATATTGTTCTATAGTGGGAGCTTAGTGGGTGCTTTTTTTCCTCTGGGTTTTCGATGCCCTATTCTGAAAAACAGAAAAATAATCTGTTTTTTCTTCTCTAATGTCAGTCACTTAATTACCTTGGATGAGTTATTCCTTCATACGAGTTCTCACCATCATTATAAGCTCTTATTGAATTTCTATGTTGAAAATGACTATTGAAGAACAATTCATGTTTACTGGAATGCTAATAAAATTGACAGAAGCAATTTCCATTTTTCACTATAAATATTTGGCTCTCATAAACTGACTGAGATGGCCTCTTGGTTTTTTCTCAGTAGTATGGCAAATGATCAAGATTGAGAATTTGAGAAAATTGGGTTTTCATTATATAAAAATTGACATAAATACATAATTTTGTGTTATATTTATGTCACAAGTTAGCCTACAGTTTATTCGATGTTAATTTTAGAACATTGCATATTTCTTTTTGTCAGAAAAATTTAAATTTTTTGAAGTGTCCTTATGTGGAGTCCATTTTTATAATGGGATTTACATTACTGACTGTGGATAGCCTCCTCAATATGACATCTAGGAATGTAGGTTTTTGCTTCAGGTCTTTTGATATTTCAAGATTTTCCCACTAACTGCATATGAAAGCATCTACATTATTTTTGAAAACTGTTCATGTACAAAAGTTAATGTTCTAACAAGCATCAGGAGAGGGAGTAAAGTGAAAAGGTTGCTTTGAGGTTTAGAAAGTGATTTTGCTGTTGTTGGGATAGTGTTTTTTGTGTTATGGAAACTGTGAAATATCGATTAGATGTTCTTATAACGATGGGTGCTTCTGTTAATCTACTGTTTTGCTTAGTGAAATTCCCTTTGCTCCTAGGGCATACATCTTACTTGAGTCTTAAACATGCATGCTGTCTCATAATTTGTGAGGTTACAAGACTTAAAACATTGTCAATTGGAATAAATAATTTTACTGAAACATTTATTCACATGAGTTCAGTCAGTCTGATTTTGCAGTGAATTAACTACTAGAATTATGTCTCTTTCGTTATCAGGTAGTATCTCCAGTTTTTGTTCTTTCCATGAAGGGACATTTGTGATTCTTCCAAATGCTGTATAATTTACATTAAGTTTTTTCTCTGCTTCTCTAAAGTAATTGCCAAATTACCCTCTCTGCACTATTTTGACTTGTGATCCAAGATGTGTGCTTTTGAGAAAACTTATTACTCTGTAATGTGATTTTTTTCAGTTTAGTATGAATATGAAAATTTATCAGATTTGTTGGGTGAATAATGAATATTTAAAAAGTATTTTCCTGTTTTCATTTTGTCCTTTTAAATCCTTTTGGTAAATAAGTATCATCAGTGCAATATTAAATCAATGTATCCCGTTGCTTCTTCTTGCTGCCATTGCTTATGTTCTGCAGTCAAATTTAGTCTTGTAAGATTTTTCAATTAAAGATTGGTTCTACATTGTATTGAAGTACATTTTTTCATACTTTTAATGAATGTTCTTTATATCCCTTTAATTTATTTACTTTTGGTGTAAGTGTGCGAGTGTGTGTGTATGTGCACATGCATATGTGTGTGTGTGTGTAAGGAGTTGACATTTGTAATTTTCATTGTGGTATAATTTACATGATTTCACTCTGAATAAATATGCTGTCATTAGAATACCTACCAAATTGTTCCTATTATGTCGGAAACTAATGTTTAAGGTTTCTTATGCTTTGCAGAATTTTAATTGTTTTGTAGAAATAGTACCTATAACTGTTATCATTTACATGGTATGCTTTCAAGACTACTATGTGCAGTGCCTCATGAAATGCAATTTTCAGAAGCTCTAAGAATATTGAAGTTCGAAAAAATTATCATATTTTCTTTCTTGAAAAGGTGATTAAATGCTCAAATGAGAAAATTACACTTGAGAAGGATGTGCAAAATTGGCCTGTTAACATAAAAAACTAATGCTTTGATATTGTGCAATTGTTTGATTAGGATGTTGGATAAGATGTGTTTTGGCTGTTGAACTACTTATGTTAATATGTATTAGTTATGGGGTTGCCAATGCATAATTTTCTCCTTTAAAGAAGAATTGACATATTTTTATTTGTTGTTTTTCTCAAAACTCACGTGTTATTTGTGATAATTATATTTTATTGTAATTTATTGAAGAATATGAGTACCTTCGTTACTGCCTTCAAGAGAGCCTTTACTTACTGTTCTGAACTGACTATAATAAACTGATGGGTTTAAGTTTAAGATAAAGATATATTTAAAATGCAATGGTCTCCAGTTTTCAGTAATTTTATGAATTACCTGCATTTGAAATAAGTGATAATATAGATTTACTCTGAAAGAAAATATAAATATCTAAATGTACTGTTTTCTTGAATATTGTGTGCAAAACTATTGGAATGTCTTAATGTCTTAAATATTCTGTGTAGAACAGAAAAGGAAAAAGTTAGCTCCTTGTTCCTGGTTGTGTTTAGAAAAGCTCATGAAGCATCTCAATTTCCAGAAAGAAGACTAGAGACTTTTTGAGCATAAATATGCAATTTAATATTAAAGTTAAACAATTGCTGGCAAGGTGGTGCTCAAATTCCTACATGACCATTGTGGATCGATGCGTGTGGTTTTTTCTCATGCTTAAGTTATTTCTACGTGATTGAAGATAATGTTTGTGCTATTCAGAACTAATGTGCTAAAATATTTGCTGTTCTTTTTTTTTTTAGCAACAATGTATAGTACAGTCAAATACTATTCAAATTGATGTGTATGTGAATTGTAATGAGATTGTGTATGTTTGTACGTATATGTGCTTTTCATTGATTTAATGTATATTTATTTTAAATAACATTTAATTAAGCAGATCAAAACATTATTTTTTGTACAAATTTATTATCTGCTGTATGAATGGGTACACCCACAGAGTATATTTTCATGACCAAATATGTTATTATATACAAATTATGCTTTATTTAACTTACTTAAATTGCTAACTAAATGTATCTTGTGTACAGTGTAATATTCATTAGTGCCTGTGATTACGTTTGAACACAGAGGACAAAACAAGAATGTACATTGGGTTTTTGAGGTGATGAAGTAAATAATTATTTATCTTTGTATTTATTGTGATTATTTATGTCCTAGAAT